GATGATACTCACTGTACATCAGTGATACCGTACATCAGTGATACTCACATGTGCATCAGAGATACTCACTGTACATCAGTGATACTCACTGTACATCAGAGATACTCACTGCACATCAGTGATGATACTCACTGTACATCAGTGATACTCACATGTACATCAGGAATGGGCTTGGTCATGAAGGAGACTGCCAGGATGACGATGGCAGAAACGCCAAAGAGGATCAGTGCAAAGTAGAGGTAGTGAATGCCACAGATGATGAAGGGGCAGTTGGAAGGGGCCACACAGCTGCCAGTTCCATAGGCAAACTCTGAAATCATCCTGCCAAGTCCAGCCAGCAGCCCAATGATCAGGCCCCAGAAGGCACCCTGCAGACAAGGGTGTGACAGGAAGGGATCAAAATGAGTCATTTCAGGCGTGGAAATAAACTCTGAATAAACAGCTGCTGCAGGAAACATGGATGTAGTTATGTGTTACAATGGCTTTGGGATGTGGGTTTTAACCCAGATGCTTTCAGTCACCTTATTTACAGCTCAGTGTATGAGTCCAACTGAAAGGGTCAATGAACAGCTCTGAGATGTCAGGCACCCCTCAGGACTGTGCCCAGACCATTTCTCACAGTCCATCTGGCTCCACACAGCTCTGCCCTCCTACAGGACAGGTTTCAGCCATGGATTGCTCACCCCAGGGGCTGTTCTCATACCTTTTTACCTTTGAGCTCTTAATCCCTGACAGCTATGGCACGATGGAGCCAGCCAGACCGTTGGCTCATCCTTCCTGAAATGTGTGTCTGCTTTACCTGCTAATGGCCCTGAGTAATTATTTAATTCCCAGTACTGTTGGTGGGTGCCTGGTGTACAGAACTCCAGCCCAAAGTGTAACAGACACACAGCTATGTGTGGGCACAAACTGAAGCACGGGAGATTCTGTTTAAACATTTTTTGTTGTTGTTGTTTTACTGTAAAGGTGCTTGATCATTGAGACAGGTTGCCTAGAGACACTGTGGAGTTTCAGTTCTTGGGGATATTCAAAACCCAGATGGACAGGATAGGTAAGACATGGTTTGTTTGGTAAAGCAGCTTGGTGACCAACATCCTAAATGAAACTTTCAGCTATGTGTCCATAGATTATCCTTTTAACACACTTGGCAAAGTGATAGAGAACCTAAGCTTCAGAGCTATCTATGAATTCCTAGGTGACTGTTTATCTATCAGACAATGAAAGAACCTTATCCAACTCATCTCTGAAACCTCAGGCTTTGGGGTATGGAGACACAAAATCCCTGGGCTATACTGGGACTAAAATAAACAGGAAGTTGCTCATAACAAAAAACCCCCACAGTTCTCCCAATCCCTAAAGGAACAGGTGACATACCTGTTTCCTAATCTGCACTCACCTGCTCATTGACACGCTTGCAGAAGATACCAAGGAGGAAAACAGCAGCAATGGGAGGTCCCAGGTAGCTGGTAATAGACTGAATGTAATCAAAGAGCTGCCCACTCTGAGCTGACTGCACCACAGGAACCCAGGCAATGCTGATGCCAATTAAGAGTAACATGAATGCCCTGTAAACACAGCCAGATATTCAATTAGCCATCTGCTTAGAAGTATCTATGATCTATCAGAAAGAAAAAAGAACATCAATTAATCAATAATTTACATGCTCATTTTGTATTTCAACTAGTGAAATCAATTATAATGGCAAATTAGCACTGAACAAACAAAAGAAATCCAAGTTGAGTATTGTGTACGTCAAATATCCATCAGCACATGGTTAAATTTGCAATCAGAGCACACAAAATCACTTTTCTGCTGTGGTTGTTATGTCCAGAGACAAATCAATAGCAGATGAACGAGAACCAGTTCATTGATGCTGCAGCCTGCTGCAGCACAGAGCCCAGGAAGGTAATTGAAAAGATTTTCCTCGCAACAGCAGTGGGGAGCAGTGACAATCAGCTCTTCCTGCACACTGTGTGTTCCTTGGGGAGCAGGGAGTGCTGTCCCCAAAGGAGCCGGGCTGGGGAGGATGAGCCGGGCCGGGGAGGATGAGCCGGGCTCAGGCTGGGGAGGATGAGCCGGGCTCAGGCTGGGGAGGATGAGCCGGGCCCGAACTGGGGAGGATGAGCCGGGCTCAGGCTGGGGAGGATGAGCCGGGCCCAGGCTGGGGAGGATGAGCCGGGCTCAGGCTGGGGAGGAGCTCCGGGGAGCGCTCGGGGCTGAGCAGGGGCCCGGCCGCGCTCACCTGCCAGCCAGCATCAGCTCCTTCTCAGATGGCCGCGTCCGGATTTTGGTGTAAATGTCCATGGTGAACAAAGTACTGGCACTGTTAAAAATGGATGTCAGGGAGCTCATGAGGGAGGCCAGCATGACTGACAGCATCAGACCCCGCAGACCTGGAACACAGAGACGGGCACGGGGAGGGAGGAGCGTTCCGTGGGCAGCCTCGGTACCTGGCACCCGCTGCGTGCCCGACCCTTCCATCGGGCAGCTCTGAGCGTGTCTGGCACATTTACCTGCCTGACAAAATCCTGCCTGACATTCCCGTGCTGGAGCTATTTACAGCAGTGCCAGGGAAACTCTTGAGCTTTTAGCATGTACCTACTTCTTTAGTGAATTCTGCCTGATTAAATGCTGGAATAAAAAAATTATATTAAGCAGACTTTTCCCAACCATATAAAAATCGTTCCTCTTGTTTGCAAGAGAGTGCTCACTTGCTTGTAGTATATTTGTGAACCAGATATTTGCCAAAAAAACCAAGTTTCTTTTACTGTCTGAAAACCAGAGTAAGCCACTTTTCCAGATGGTCTGGCCTGGTTGCAGAGCATGGGGAAGCACTGCAGGATTTTTACAACAGTTATCAAAGGATGGGAAAGTACCAAAGCAATCGGGGAAGTGCCATGGTCTCTGTAATATCACAACCTGGCTTTTTTGCCTTATGAGCCAGCACCCATCCCTTTGGGGTTGTGTTGGAATAGGCCTCCAACACAGAGATCCTGGCAGAGAGTCCTTTATAAATCATTGGCCAAGCAGGTTATATTTTACCTTCACAAAAAGGGAGCTCATTCACCATTTCAGCACACAGCAAGTGCCAGCTGAGAGCTGACACTGTCAGTGTGGAGCTATTCTGCACCTACAGCTAATACACACAACCCCTTTGGTTAATAGTGCATCATTCTAGCAAGAATTTTGGAACTAAATATGGGTCTTGGACTCCCTCTCTCACTTGTTTTTACAGTCTGGCTTTCCTAAAATAAAGAAACAACAAACACAGACAGTGTCTTACCATTTGGCATAAGCTCCACTACCAGTTTTGGGTAAGCAATGTTTGTGCAGCCCACTGAGGTGCCACAGTAGCGCTGGCAGACTTCAGGCACAACACAAGCCACCACATCTGAGGGGAGGATAATGAGACGCTGAGACAAGGTCATGTAAACAACAGATTGCTCCCAAATTAACAGAGCTTCTAGAATGTATTTTTGTGTTGAGCCACTGGATTGACACATTTGATTTCATCCTTGGTTTGCTGACAGGGAGGAAGGTGATCCTAAGCCTCTTCCCTTCCTCTCTAAGAGAATACTGACATGTGCTGCAGGTCAAAAGCAAATCTGCACTCATTTGTCAGACCAGGGCTGAACAACACAAGTAGAAAAACAAGCAGAGGAACACAAAGCCCACTCCCTGCAGCCTGAACCTCTCTCCTCTGCCTGCTGCCAAACACAGCCAAACTGTGCTGGTCAGGGAGATGGGAACGTGGCATTTCCCCATGCTGCCCTTGGGACTGCCCATGGCCCAGACCCTGCAGCCTGTGACTGATGGCCCTGGCCCTCCAGCACAGTATCTGTCCTGGACAGCATCTTCCACTCATTCAGTCACAGTGGGGCTGTGACAAACAGCTGGGCACTGTGGAATTTCTTTCCCCTAAAACAGACAGCAACAGTATTAGCAGAAACGTGGGATCAGGGAAAAGAGGAAGGCCTGTGGCTTCCAACAGTGCAGTCAGCTGAAGGTGCCTGGACGTTTGGATGAGAAGATGACAATCTAACTGGTATTTTGGAAGGGACAGAGAGGTTGGCAATGAAAGGCAGGCAGCAAGAGCTTTGCATTTCTGTATCTGTGTCATACCTGTGTACAAAATGCGGCTGATCATTCCAGGCATCACTATGATGAACATGGGCAAGAGTTTGAGGTACCCACACACGATGCAGCCAGCCTTCACATGGGACATGTTCTTGCCAGAGAGACACCTTTGCACAATAACCTGCCAATGACACATGGCAGCTGAACATTGCCATGATCACACCATGCCATGTTCCACATACAAGGGACTTCTTAACTTCTCTATAGCAAAAGAGCCCATTTAGCATTTCTGCCACTAGGAAAAATGAAAACTACATGAAAATCAAAGGATATGTTTGAAATAAGTAAAGGAAAATACAACTTATTTGGTGTGTGAGGGGTAAAACTTCTCTCACAAGAAGTTTTTTAAGCTGACAGACTAAAAAGCCAAAAAGGAATAGAATATTTAACTGAGCAGTAAATACAGTTACATTGGGGATTTTGTTAATTTGTTGAGAAATCATGAAGATGATCTTTCTCACAATTTAGGATGTAGAGAGATCATTTGTTAGAGACACATTCACATGTTGCAGAAGCAGGAGCACCTTTTTCTTTACTCATGTCAGTGTGATCTCTTGAGGAAACTGGCAGGAGTTTTAGAGAGAAGGAAAGATGATTGGGGAAGAGTCTCCAGGCTGAAACACCAAACATATAAAGAATATTCCCCCCAAGACTATGCAAGCAAAGATGAAAGCTGCACATATAGGAAACAAACTTGTTTTACTGAAAAGGGAATGGTACCTAGACCCAGTCTAACAAGGGCCATTTGTGCCATGGTTTCCCAGGTGTTCACAGCACAACCTCTCTGTTTTCACACATGGTCACACACAAAAAATGAGAAAGGAGGCAGAGAGGGTATCTGCTGGGCAGAGGTGTGCAGGAAGGTTTGAAAGAGCACCCATTCCATTTTCCTACATGTGAGAGATGCCTTGAAAGCAGGAACTGAGAAGTCACTGACCAGCCTGGAAACGACAGCCAGCTCTGTGGCCCAGCTTTGCATTGCAGGGGAGGATCTCCCTGGAGCACAGAGCTCTGTCTGCCCTCAGCAGGGCGTGGGGCTCCCACATTACCTGGTCAGTGCACCAGTACCACATGGCAAGGATGCTGAGGCCAAAGATGAGCCCTGGCCAGGGCAGGTCCCCGCTGATGGGGTCCCTGAAGATGTGGAAGGCGTCGCTGCGGGGCGTGTAGCACGCGGGATCCACCTCGGTGCCCCCGTAGGACACGTTGGAGGGAATGGCTGCCATGTACTTCTGCATGAAAGCCTCGTAGCCTCCCACCTCAGCAAATGCTGAAACACACAAAGCAACAGTGGCAACAAAGCATTTGTTACTGAAATCTCAGAGCTTGAGAGCGTGAGGAGAAAAGTCCCCTTAATGTGGGCATAAAAATCCTGTCATGGGATGCTGCTTGTTACCTTCCACATTCACTTGTGGGAGGTTCTTCCCACTTGTGGGAGGTACTTCCACTTCACTTGGGAGACAGACTCAGTGACTAAAGGTGCCTGACTTTTGGCAACATGCCTGCTTTCTTCCCTGATAAATGGGTACAGGAGCTGAAACCTCCTGCTTAAGGCAACAGTTTCACACTGCAGGATTCATTCCTGTAGCCACTGCAAGATTTGTGGCTGAACATTCCAGTTTGATTCATCTGATTTACTTACCAAATCCCATGAGAATAAAGGATCCCAATACCATGATGAATGTTTGTAGGGTGTCTGTGTAAATCACAGCTGCAAGGCCACCTGATGGCAGAGAGGTCAGGACAAATAAGTTAGCCCTGGACAAATGTCTCAGTGGAAATGCTTTTTTCATTTTTTCCCTTTTTCACCACCTCTGTCTTTCAAGGACCACTATAAATAACCCCCCCCTTTCAGGTTTTCATTTCTCCCTTTTTCTCCACTTCTCTTTCTTCTGCCTCCCTCAACATCTCTGATTTATCAGGCTGCTCTGCAAACTCACCTGTGATGGTGTAAAGAGCAGTAATAGCAAGCAGGATGATTATGGCCAAATAAAGATTCAGCCCTATGGCCAGCTGGATAAATACAGCTCCAGAGAAGATGTCAGCCTAGAAAAGAAACACGGTAGCTTCAGCCATGTTTGGGTTCATGGTGACATTTTATAGTTCCATGATGAGGGCACTGAAATACTCAACACTGCCCCTTGTAGTACTGCACACACAAATCAAAATAGAAGCCATTTTTGTGTACCTGCCAGTGTCCCCTCAGAGCTGTGGAGTTCTCAGTACCAGAGGTGTAACACTTCCCAGAGAATTCCCAGGCCTTTCTTAACAGGGTTCTTTTCTCTAGACAGTGACCTCACTGCTCAGTGCTCAGCCACTAAGAGACAGATCCAGAACAAACTGTTTGAAAGAGAATGTGAGTTCCATTTGCTGCTGTGTGCAGGGCTGGACTGGGTGACACCTCCAGGACAGTTCTCTTCCTTCAGTGTCACCCCACAAATCTCTTTCCCTTTGCTGCTCATGTGTGGTGTAGCTCTTCCTGCTGGCTCAGGACAAATGCTGCATTTGCATTGAAGGCAAACATCTTATATGGTCTCTATTTTTAAGTTCCTGTCAGAAGAATTGACAGCAGTTGGCTAAGAGAGGAAACCTTTAGCTCTTACGTAAGGAAGGGATTGTTCAGGTTTCAGAGTAACACTGGGCCCTTAATCCCATTAAATCACTTCCTGATTCAGAGATAATTGGCATCAATGGTATTTACACAAGTTTGCAATCAGAATAATCTGCCCCTTGCACTTGTGATGCCTGACTGTAAATTCTGCTTTCATTGCTCCTGAGCACGCAGCTCATGGGCGGCTCTGCAACCCCAGCACCACGGAGGGCGGGCACAGGGACTG